TAATTTTTTTTTTTTTTGAAAGGCATGCAATCTAGCTAATTAAGGTATGTATATATATATATACTACTTTCTAATTAATCTTTACTTCTTCAATTCTTTCAAGATCTAAATCAAACTTAATTTATAGTATATGTTTTCTAATTAAAAGGACCTTCCATGAGTCTAAATTTAAGCATTTTTAAGTAATTCTACACATACCAGACTATATGCTTTTCATAAAATGCCTCCTTTTTAAAATCCTCAAATTATCTCTAATCAAACTACAATCTCTCATGGATGAAAAAAAAAAAAACTCATATTTAAGAAAGACATTTGAAATTCTTTCCTTCATATTTTATTCCTATAGTATATGAAAGCCATTCTTAATTCTCAATTTAACCAAACACAACATTATAATACTTAGATTTATCTTTCCATTTTCAATATCAACAAGGGAAAATAATTAAATCTACTTGTTAGGAAAAAAGACTAATTTGACGATAGTCTAACATATGTGTCTATTCAATAGATCATACTACGTACATTTAGGTCAATCCATTCTTCTCTCTTTTGCAGGAAACCTGTTTTATCCAATGGATATTTTATTCTTTGTTGGAAGTTCTCTTTTATCTCCTATATATGACAGGCTATCAGAAAAGTTGACAGATTATGTAAGTGATCTATGGAATTCAGACGAGGAAGTACATCCCAAGATGGAACACTGGAAGATTCTATTGCCCAAAATCACTGCTGTACTTCAACATGCAGAAGAAAATCCTGTTGCCAACCAATTCGTGAAGTTACATCTTGATGATCTCAAGGACTTGGCTTATGATATGGAGGACATACTTGAAGAGTTTGTGATTGATGCCAAGAGGTCCAAATTGAGTGCAGAATCTGAAGCCAAACCCAACAAGCTTCAAAAAATCATCTCCAGTGTCTTTTTTGGATCTAGAGCTAAGCCTAATCCAAAGCTTGATTCCATGGTGAATGATCTAAGTGTTAGATTGCAGAAAATTCATGATGGGATGCGTAGTTTGGACCTAGCCAATTTGAATTTGAAACTTGAAGATGAGTCTCACAAAGTAGCTGCAAAAAGACTACCTGAGTCTTCTCTTCTTGAAGATATTGTGTTGGGTCGAGATAGTGATAAAGAAGATATTCTTCAAAGGTTGCTAGAAGATGGAGGCAATCTCAAACAGGACTTTGTTATTCCCATCGTTGGAATGGGTGGACTGGGGAAAACAACTCTTGCTCGGCTCATCTACAACGACAAAAGATTGGAAGGCAAGTTTGACTTCAAGGCATGGGTTTGTGTTTCTGATGAGTTTGATGTTGCTCAAATAACAAGAACCATTTTAGAACATGTAACTCGGACACGTTGTAATCTTCAAAGTTTTACTTTGCTTCAAGAGAATTTGAAAGGGGAGTTATGTGGGCACAAGTTTCTTCTTGTATTAGATGACATTTGGAACAAGGAATATGGCCAGTGGGATGTCTTGAAGAGACCTTTTATGTCAGGAGCTCCTGGAAGCAAAATAATTGTCACAACTCGAAACAACGATGTTGGGACGATGATGAGAGGAGATGATGGAGTTTACAATTTGGAATTGCTACAAGATGATGCTTGTTTGCCATTATTTACACAACATGCACTGGGGAAAGAGAACTTTGATGCTCATCCTAACCTACAAGATGTTGGTGAAAAGCTTGTTAAGAGGTGCAAAAGATTGCCATTGGCACTAAAAACACTAGGTGGCGTCTTGCGAGGGAAGCTACATCCTGGTGAGTGGGAAAATATATTAAACAGTGAGATATGGAGTTCATCAGAAGATAAGAGTGGAATTCTTCCTTCTCTAAGATTGAGCTACAATCATCTTCCTTCTCACTTGAAGCGATGTTTTGCTTATTGTGCTTTGTTCCCTAAAGACTATGAATTTGACAAAAAGGAGTTGGTTTTGTTATGGATGGCTGAGGGTTTGTTACCGCAACAGTCACATGGAAAGAAGCAAATGCCAAAGGAGATTGGTGATCAATATTTCCAAGATTTGTTATCAAGATCACTCTTTCAACAATCAAGTGGAGATGAATCACAGTTCGTGATGCATGACCTCATAAATGATTTAGCTATAGATGTTGCTGGAGAAATATATTGCAATCTTGGAGATAGCATGGGTGATGAAAAATTAGAGAAGGCTCGTCATGTGTCATTCATTCCACACTATCATGAAATCTCCGAAAGATTCATGGTCTTGAAAAAATTGAAGCATTTGAGAACATTCTTGCCACTACAAGGGTTCCATCACTACCCACCCTTCTTGTCTAACATAGTTGTGCATCATTTCCTACCAACTTTAAATCACTTAAGAGTGCTATCTCTTTGCAATTATCGGATAAGCAAGCTACCTGCGGATTTTTTTGGAAATTTAAAGCATATTCGGTACATTAATTTCTCTGGCACACATATCAAATGTATACCTGAATCAGTGGGTTCTCTTCTCTTCTTACAGACATTGCTATTACATGGTTGTCATAAGCTTACTGAGTTGCCTGCAACGATTGGGAATTTAATTGATCTTCATAATCTTGATATCACCGATACAGAATCTTTAAAAGCGATGCCATCAGAAATATGTAATCTTAAAAATCTTGTGACATTGTCTAAAGTGATTGTGGGGGAGGCAAGTGGATTGATGAGATTATCTGATTTGAAGAACTTTTTGCAACTTCAAGGAACATTGTCTCTTCTAGATTTACAGAATGTTTTGGATGTTCAAGATGCTAAGAAGGCCAACCTAGACAAGATCCATGGTCTGGAAGAGTTAGTCTTGGAGTGGACTACTTCTGATAATGATGGAGATGAATTAGTCCTCGAAATGCAGGTCCTCAGTTGGTTAAAACCTCATTCAAATTTGAAAAGTCTCAAAATTTCTTGCTATGGTGGCTATAGTTTCCCAAATTGGGTGTGTGATCCATCTTTATTTTCCAATTTATCATACATGGAGTTTACGAATTGTGAGAGATGCACTTTGTTACCATCACTTGGCCAATTATTTGCTCTCAAAAAATTGATTATTACAGGCATGAAGGCAATAAAAGCTGTGGGTCTTGAGTTTTATGGGCAACATGAACCTTTTCGATCATTGGAAGAACTGGTGTTTCAAGACATGACAAATTGGAAGGAATGGACTTCTCCAGCCGAAAGTGCAAGTACAGGTGAATTCCCTTGTCTCCTTAAGCTTGTGATTGAAGATTGTCCTGAGTTGGTAGGACAATTACCCGGCAACCTTTCTTCACTTAAAGAGTTGCATGTTAGAAGGTGCAATGAGATGCTTTTGAACAGTATGGGTGATCTCACCTCACTTGTTAATTTGAGAATTGAGAAAATTTCAAAACTAACTTGCTTGCCTAAGAGTTTTACACAGTCCTTGATAGCACTTGAGACTCTAAATATTACATGTTGCCATGATCTTACTAGTTTGTGGGAGGAAAGGGCAGAAATAGAACAAAGCCTCTTGCCTTTCAATCTTAAACATCTTAGCCTTATGCAATGTACTCATTTGGAGTCATTACCTAATGCAATGATGGTGCAAATGGATGGAAGCAGTAGCAGCGACACTAGTATGTTGACGTTGAGACTTGAAAAGCTGGAAATTTCTGGTTGTCATTCTCTCAACTCTTTCCCAAGAGGCAAGTTACCTAGCACGCTTACATACTTGAAAATAGAAGACTGTGATTGTCTTGAGTCTCTACCGGAGGCAGATGGTGACAATGATAGCAAGCTCTATTTGGAAATAAAGAATCTTCCATGTCTGTATTCTTCTGAGGGTTGTCATCAGCTACCAGTTTGTCTCAAGAAATTTACAACTGATAAGGGTGGGGAGCTGTTGGAATCATTTCTAGAGAGGATGCTACAACATTGTATGGGACTCCAATGCATTGAAATTACAAATTGTAAAACATTGAAAAGTTTACCCATCCTTGATTGTGTCAGCAGTCTCGTCAAATTATGGATTGAGCAATGTGAAGTCTTCGAGTCCCTCCCGAATATGATGAACCAGCTGAAATCTCTTCAAACCCTATCGTTGGTAGACTGCCCCGGCATTGAGTTCATTCCAGATGGGAGTTTGCCCCCAAACTTAATAAATCTTTACTTAATAAGGTGTAAGAATCTCAAGCGTGTGCCGAATACAATGTACCAGCTCACATCGCTTCAGAGTCTATCAATGCCAAGTGAGGCTTTGACGATGGGATTTGGACGAGACCTCCAAAACCTTACATCTCTTCAATATTTGATAATTGAGCAGAAACTCCCTCTAAATATTGTGCTACCTTCTTCTTTAACCACTCTTGGGATCTATTGTCAAGAAAATTTGGAATCCATACCTAAAGGGCTCTTCCAAAACCTAAACTCCCTTAATTGTTTGGAAATAACTGACTGCCCGAAGCTACAATTTTTGCCAAGGGAAGGCTTCCCTCCCTCGCTTGGACTAATATCCATGTTCAGTTGTCCGCTTCTAGAACGACAGCGCTTTAAGGAAACAGGAGACTACTGTACTCTCACGCGCACCATCCCCTGCATTTGGATAGATGATGATCAGGTAATAAGACCTAGTGTGAACTGAGCCTAGCATCACCATTTTATACTTTTCATATGAGAATTTAGAAAAATTATAATAGATAACACTTTTCTTTGACTTGTGCCGCCTTTTCTTATACATGCGTTGCAAATTCATTTTTGTGCAGGTTCACTACTAGAGCTAACTGCTAGCTATAACCAATTGTTGATGAGGTAAATATAGCGAAGCCACTCCTCAATGTTACTAGTACTTCATTTATTGCTTGAATTTATTTTTATTTTTATTTTTATGGATGATGAATTGAAGTTCATGTAAATTGCCCAAAACTTTGCTGAATAAAGCAAGCTTATAATCCGATCAAGTCCATATAGTTGCTTGCTCACACCTCTCACTTGTTTCTTGATAAAGTCCTTGGATTCATCAACTTTATTTACACTTTATTATCGACCCTAAAATTACTTTCTTCTGAAAACATGCTTTCCATTACCTCAAAAAAGGCTTATGCTTTCAGATTATTTCAATGGGGATGAGTGGCTGGCTTGGCATTATGGAAATTCACAACCACCAAGGAGCTTGCTGCTTGCAAAATGATGTTCTTAGGCAAGCCAACCAATTTGAATTTTAAATTCAATTACTGCAGGAGCTTATGTTTTCCATTCTAAAGAATTGGGAAGACTTTTGAAACAAGGAGTTTCTGACATTCAAATGAGATTTTTCTGGAAGCTGGAACTGGAACGTGGATGACCTCTTTTGAATTAAACAAGCTTGTAATCTGACTAAATCAAGCTACAGTTTTACAAGTTTTTTATTTGGGAAAGCAGAACTTACCTTGTAAGTATCCAAACTATCTCTTTAAAATTTTATTGTGATGCCTATTTGCTTTGCTATTGTTACTGTTTAGAACAAGGAATGAAAACTGACATATCAGGCTATCTCTATAGTTCATTTTACATTTGAATGATATACTAGTCTATTCCTCTGCTATCTATGATCTTAGCTGCCTTAGAATTAAATGATTATCTCCCGTTGCTTCCTTCCCTTGATTAATATATATTTGGTTGTATTAAAGATTGACTAATAATTAGTCATTTATTTTGCAATTTTTCTTTCCCGATCCTATAGGTTTCTACAGCTTTGTGTTATTATTTTACTTTGATTTCATTTTTGCAATTCACTTATCCATCTTTCTTTTTTATGTTACAATTGATGCTTTTTCTCTTCTTCAATAACAAGCTATACTATATTACCATGTGTGCTTGGCATTCTTTTTCTCCATCCAAAGTTCCAAACTCTACATGAATTTTTTTCTGCATCTCAACACAGTTTAGCCTTTTGATTTTTCTAATTTCCCTTTCTTTTTTTAGTTTCTTGTTGCTTGTGCAGAGGATATAGCAAAATCTTGTTAGGCCTATGTGGGACCCCTTTGTTTTGTGTCCCCCTTTTTCCTTTCGTGCGCCAGAAGTTGTCTTCTTATCTCACATTTCCCATAATTTTAGTGACTGCTTTCTTACAACCGTGTAACCTCCAACTTAGTTCATGTCTTGAATCTTGTAACATCTTATTAAACCCTTTACCTTTTTCAAGTCAACTACAGGATTAGTTAAAAGGTGATTGATCCAAGATTTCAAGTTCAAGCCTCCCTTTTTAAGCAAGTTCTTTCTTCAAAAAGTAGGTGCTTAATGCTTTGACATTCTCTGGTAAGTCTTGAAGATCTTTCTTCAAGTTCAAGCCTCCAAAGAATGCCCTCTCTGGTAAGTCAGGCTTTACCTTCTCATCCCTCAGTTATTCAAAGAGATTCTCTATCATTCATTAAGAAAATGCTAAGCTTTAATTCACGTTTGCAGACATGGATTTTCTTCTTGTTGTTCTTGTCATTTCCCTTGACCAAGGATAATTTGAGGATATAGATGAAGGTGGACGGAGTAATGCTTCAAGGCAGCATTATGCACAAATCATTTCAGGTGCATTTTCACATTTTGTTTCCTTTAATATGTGCAAAATTTGAAAGTTTATACCTAAGTCACTAGTTGTAGGTGAACTTATTATTAGACTAATTTATACCATACTCAAACATGTTAAGTAACCATTTCTTATTTCTTCAGGATTCTTCTGCTGCACGTGTATCCATTGATCTGGTGTTCAGAAAACTCTTCATGAATGCATACATGAACTGCACGGGGCTTGGACTTTGAATGTATCAAGTCAGAGGAGCTTTACATAACAGCCAGTGGCTGGTTTTGATCAACATTGCAAAAACAGTTCAGAGACAGAGGGAGTGAGTTGCATCAGCACACTTGGTGAGATTTATCCCAACTTGATTGGAGATTTTGACTTCAAGTTTTATTTTAATGATGACTATGAGATCAGTGAGCCAAGAATTTATTCTTGATAATTCATCGTTGTGTACAGCAACCTCTAGTGTTACCTAGAGTAGAAGAAACTTTGTAATAATGTCCATTTTATATTTAGTGGATGTTTTTTTACTGGACTAGGGTTCCCCATGTTAAAAAATCTGGTGTCTTGATTGTGTGGATTTGTTAAGTTTTTTTTATCTTGCTTAATTGTGCATAGAGAGGAGAATGCTTGTTGAATGTGCCATTTGGTGAGCCTTTTTGGGATAATGTATTATATTCAAAGATTGGTCTCATTTTTATCTTTCTGATCCATATTCAAGTTGTAGTTACCAGCCTGTATACTATCAACCCAGAAAGGACTATAATTCTCAACAAAAAGGTAAAATCGAGAAATCAGAGCTGAGGTCAAAATTACATTAGTTCTTGAGCCAGAATTCAGAAAAAAAAAAAGGAAGAAAGAAACAGCAAAGTATAACAGAAAAAATTACAAGGATGAAGTCCTAGAAGGTGTCTGGTTTGCACTTCCCCCATCCCAAAACTGGTTTATCATAAAAAAATAAAGAACATATTATGAACAATATTCCTGTTCTCCAAATCCAGAATTTGGTCTCTAAACTTAATTTGATGTACCTAAGAGAAAATGTACAAAAATGGATTCTCCCGGAGCCTGGAAATATATCTTTACAGCAGTATGGACTTCAATTTCTGTGAAGTTATAAAGTGGGAAATCTAGTTAGAACGTTCATTTGATCTATTGATTTTGCAGCCTCGGAATGACAAGGTCAGGTGTCAATTCTTAAATGCTTCTTTGAATCCCATACTTAAGTTATGCTTTGTGCCTCCTGTCAAAATCAGTGTCCTGCACCATGGCTACAAACTCACTGTAGTCAATGCACCTGTCCTGCACAGAACACACAGTATAACCAGTACTAGTATTTTGAATCAGCAGTAATTTCAAACAAAATAATGCTAAATGGAAAAATGAGAATTCAGTTAAACTTGTGAATGTTATGTTACTTACATTGTCGTGATCAACTTTGTGTATTCTCTTCCAAATGAATATCTTCCAAGCCAAAATGCTAGCAGGCCTGTTGGAGCTCATCCTGAGTGATGTATCCACTCCCGTCTTTGTCAAAGTATGAGAAGGCTGCATATGAATGATCCTCCAAGTTAAGAAGGGAATGATATTTACGGCTGTGTTTATATCTTGATACATAAGAAATGAAATATTACAATCATTAATACGTTTATTTCAATTGAATACTGAATATAATCTGAAGCCACGAACATCAGGCATCTATCAAGTTGAAGCCATGTGAACCACCACCCTCCTGAAATCCACAAGTCAATCTTCTAAGCAAATAATTTTGAGTAGTTGGTTTACAAATTATAATGTTCTAGCTTTCTTACCTTAGCACTGATCTTTGGAGTGGTTGCACAACAGTACAGCTTATCACCTACAAAAGTTAGTACAAGAAAATCAATAGAAATGCTCAGTGTTAGTGACAGCATCAGCAATAGTGGTCTGCAGCTTCAGTGTTAATGACAGCTCAGTGTTGTAACCAGTATGGATTAGTGATCTTCCTTCTTGCCTGGAACATGGTTTTGGTTTTTGGCCATCTAGACTGGCCTTTTGTTAAAATGGGATTTTCTTTATGCTGGAACTGGAAAGTGGATTACCTTTGGTGAATTCAACGAGCCTGTAATCTATTTGAAGCTTCTGTTTTGCAATCTTTCAGTTGGGAAAGCAGAACTTACCCTGTGAGTAGCCAAACTACCTCTTTTAACTTCTATCATGCTACTTATTTCTTTTGTTTATGTTATTATTTAGGATTTTAATTCACCCAAGATATCTCTGTCTTTACCCTTCATTTCAGCAATGTACTTATTCATTGATTCCTTTTCCTGTTGCAGCTTACAAGATGTGCCATCTTCGTGTTACTATATCTATATTGATTCCGGTGCAGGGGACTTCAGTAGATCCCATCCTATTTCCTAACAACAAAGTAGTCTCCCATACACTCCCTTGCTTTTATGTATGCAACACAAAAAGTAAAGAACCAAAAAAGGGTGATCCTGTAGACTGCTAATGAAAAGAAGAAAAAAGTCAGAAACCAAAAAGTAGCGAACCAGAAATGCATAAGGTACCAGTTACTTCAACTGACATGTAATATTAGCATCATTTGAACAATACTTGGCATCATGGCATATTTAGAACAATGTCAGCTTAACCAACCCTCCCCGAACCCCCATCTTCTTCCCGTTCATCTAAATTTCTCATAATTTTAGGGATTGCTTCCTTGCAACTTCGTAACATCTTATAGGATTTGAATAAAGATAAACCCTGTACCTTTTTCATTCTAGTTTTCTTTAAAAGTCAACTACAGTATTAGTTAAAGGTGATTGGTCAAGATTCCAAGTCCAAGCCTCCAAGGTAGTGAAAATGCTAAAGGAATTCCAACAATGGCATGGATCCAAAATATTTGGTGCAGTATGATGCATGAGAGTTCTAGTGATCCTTCTCATATGAATATAAATCCTAGAGTTTTCTTGTAAGATATTTTCACAACTTAATCTCAAAATGCTAGACTTTAAATAAATTTCATTCAGCTTTGCAGGATATGGATTTTCTGGATCCATTTGTTAATTAACTTCTACTACCATCAGAGATAAGATAACTCAGGTGAGTGTGGATGCTTTGATATTAACACTACTTTTCATGTAGGAAAGCTTCTGGTATAATGAGGAAGAAAGGAATGATCCAACAATATGCAGTGTGTTTCTCTCTTATTCATCTTAATTTGCAGCCAAGATTACTTCACAGACACAGCTGCATTTAGCGTTGCTTTACTTACCAATGGATTGACTTACTGATTATACTGTGAAATTAAACATCTTGATGAACAAATGGAGGTGTTCCCGGGATCCACCATGGTTGCAGTGACGTCATAATATTTCATTCTCTCTAAAATTTATCCCTTATTTATTAATTTTTGTTTTACAATTCCTAATAAAACAACAGTTCTTCATGATTACCGTTCTCTTTGGAAAGCAAAAGATGCCTCAACCATCCAAATGAATGCAAATGGGACCTTCCAAATAAAAGGAAGACAATTTCATAGGTTTGAAAATTAAAAATTTTATGACCAAGAGAAAACATTGGGACCCTGAAGGTACAAGGAAGACAATTTCATAGGTTTGAAATTAAAAATTTTATGACCAAGAAAAAAAATTCAAGAAATTAGATGGAAAAGGCCAAAAAGATAAGAGATTGCATACCTTTTCATTTTGGCCGTTTCAGGGTCAATATTTGCTGGCAAGTTGGGGTCTGCAATAATTGTCCTTCTTTTTCCTCGCAATGAGAACTCCCATTCCAAATAAGGAGAAGAGAATTCCAATTTCTAGGTGGAAATTCAAGAAAGTAGTAGACGAACAAAGAGGAAAAAGACAAACAGGGAAAGAAGCAAGCATCTTCGCTGTCTTTTCCATATGAATATGGGGATGCCCAGCGTGCCCGTTTAATTTTATTTAATTAATAATAAGTAATAACGAAAAATTATAAATATCAATAAATTAAATACAATTTTAATATTTTTAACAAATAAATTAACTATGATAATCGTACCCATAGGAGACTTTCCAGCCCTTTTTTCAGAATTTGGTGGGACTGCAATTTCATTGTAACAAATTTTAGTCTGTGTTGATATTGTCTTTATATTTAATAATAGGAAGTTCACAGTTGAATTAAAAAAGAAAAGAAGAAGATTAGTTAGGACCATCAAATGAATGCAAATGGGACACTCAAATAAAAGGAAGAAAATATGTGAAAATTAATAAATTTATTGCCAAAAAGAAAATAAATAATGACTTTAGGAAGTAAAGGCTAAAACGGTAGAATATAAAAATATTATAGTTATAATATTATATAATATTATATTTTTTTAATCAATAAAAAATATAATTAAAATAAATACAAAAAATATTACTGCACATTACATGACACAATCTCCAGCATTGAGAAAGCTATATAAAACAGAGAGATATTTCCAGGCAATATTTAAATAACCCTAAAAAAAGAAAGTTTGGAAAATTTTAACGGAAAGTTCGCCGAAGTCTCGAACCAGTCGCATCCTCTTCTTTACTCTTTTCCACCTCCGTAGTTCATTTCTAGCAAATTTCTCCACCCGCGCGCGCCTTCAGATTCAGCTTTGAGCATTGGAAAGGTATGCTTTTCTTAATCCCAGCCATAGATATATCTATCTACATTAATTTTATTCAAAATTCATTTCACTATATGTTTTCTTTGGCTTTTTGCCATCTTTT